GCTAAAAAAAAGGGGAGAAATAGCGGTGACAGACATAAGGGTACAATGTTGGGAGTAATACGCAAAAAAAGAAAGAAAAAGAAAAACCCAAGAAAAAAAAGAGTTTGTTTTTTTTATGTAATGTAATGTAACATAGGCCAACTATTATTATTATTATTATTATTATTATTATTATTATTTTTATTATTGTTACTGTTATTATTAGCATTTATTGTTGTTGCACCTATGTTGTCATTGTATTAAGTAGGTATTGGGCATACTATAAATTATCACAGGTGTTTTGGTTAAAGTAGCTCTAAACTTGAAGTAGTGTAATGCATTACAGACAGCAATGCGGTAATAATAATTAATTATGTTCAAATGACAGTAACAACTTAATATGTATGATATTCAGTTTGTTAGTAACTTGCCCAACACTGTAGCTAATACAACATCTATTTTTTAAAAATCAATTTCCTGCTATTTATTTATTATTATTATTTTTATTTTTATCTGAGGGATTGAGTGCTAGTGTGCGCAAGATACTTGGTGATGCCCTTCAGCCAATGAGAAACATAACTCCGTTAATGAGCTACATGTGAGTTAAGAGAACAGTGCAAGGGCTTATATGTCCAGACGATGTTTACAGAAGATCATTTGTAGCTTGGCAGATCCTGTGCAATGAGGCAAAAAGAAATCAAATCAACATTTGGGGGGGTGTACGCTGATTGGAAAGTCACAAGCAGTGTGAATCCTGGTGAAGAATGCATTCCTGGTGCACCCTAACAGGCTGTGAGTGTGAAGTAGACTTGACTCACAGCAGTTGAGGGGCTTTAAGCGTCGTGACGCGCGCTGCTGTCCATACGTGGGAGGACAGGCTTACCTCGCATGTCCGCCGTGTTGTTAAAATGACAAGTGCTTGTGGAAATAGTGGTACATAAGCAGATGTTTCCAGGTAATAATCAACACTCTTGGGGCCAAAGAGATGTTTGGAAGATGCTTTGACTACATTGCATTGACTTATGGGAAGTAGTTTGGAGCAAGTCTGCAGAGCTAAGCATTAAAATATTTGGAAGCCAGAATGTTCAATTGATCTTCAATTGTGCCTGTGGACCTAAAGTTATTCCTTGTGGGGTCGTATAATTTGTAAATCGAACACAATCCTGAGGACCAAATACAAAATGAAGCATGCAATGTGAGCGATGCATCAAATGTCTTCAATACGCCAAAATCATTCACCAACTTTCTTGGGGGTTGTGCTGAGCTTTGGGCAGACCACCGCATGCTCTCGTTTCACATCTGTTGGTGTCAACGTTGTCTTCTCATTCATGGGCGGCTGCAAGCACACAAGGATGGAATTGGTGATGAAATGATGCATACTGTATAATCCCTGTCGTATTATAATATCACAACAGAATGAAATCAAAAGTCATTGGCATTTAAAAAAAGCTGCTTAATATAGAGCTAAGCACTCTGTGGATGAAAAGCAGGTTATTACTCAAATACAGACGCATGGTCGTGGAGGCACGGCAGTCTCCAACTGCCCACCTCACATGCGTGCTGACTAAATCATCCGCAAGGGGAGATCTTGCAGCTTATCAATAGAAATGCAAACTGCGCGCCCCAATGTCATGCACAGACCTCAGTGACTATTTCTGCTTTCACCCTCTTCAAACATTTCATTTATTTTCATTTGAGTTCTACAGGTTATAGGTCACATTATTGGTGGAAAACGTTTTGAAATTCATACTGGTTTCACATGTTTTATATGACAAACACCTGGCATTTGAAGAGGGGTGTGTAGACTTTTGAATATCCATTGTAAGTGGGTGTTAAATGGACGACTTAAATACGAAAACGTAATGTTTGATCCTTTATTTTCTAACCTTCTAACTAAAAAGTGTCATTCGATCATTTGCCTGGCAGTAATGCATCAATTCACAAGCATGCTCCCATTTTGGCGCTCATCTATTACCGGTCATTAACTATGCCGAGACGGAGCTTTGATGAGGGCACGACTCGGGTCCGTTAGATCACTTACACTCCACTTGTCACATGCTCAGGCCTCGGAGCTGCACTGTGGCTCGCTCCGAGGCATCAAAGGGCACCAGCACAATGAGAAGTGATGCCTGTCGCCCTACATTTCATGTGTGGGTTGCTGGATGAGCTCGAGAGCCAACGCACCTCCGTGGCAGTGAGCTAGAAGACACACTGCAGTTAGTGCCACGGAGCTGTCTTTGAGCAAAGCATTTTACACTGCAGCACTCTCTCGTTCAATTTCATTATACGCTGACTAGCCACAAGATTAGAACCACTCTAAGAACAGGAATAGACGAAGATCCTCTGACGTAAATACACGCTGTGGGATTGTGTACTTAACAATACTAACGCTCTCATGTGTTTCCACCCAAATGTCCGAATGTGAGTGTTGATCATTGTGAACTGTCGAATCCTATGAGACTTGTGTGATTAAGGGCAACACAAATAAACTTGTAATGCACTTGCTGCACTGTACACCATCCTAATTAAATGAGTGAAATGTGCATTAGGTACGTTTTGTGTGATTTGCGGAATAAACACTACGCAGCTATTCAGGAAATGATTTATGAGGTTTTCGTGTTTGAACCTTGTAGGGATTGGCTCGAGCCAGCACCGGCTTTCGTTTCACCTTGAAGTTTTGGTCCCATAGCCCACAGAACTCGGGCTCTTCCAGGCTGTCGGGAAGGCTCAGGTGCTGCATTTCTTTTTGAATGATGTCTTCCTGGTACTCCGAGTCTGACGATGAGCCGCTAGCGCTTAAGTTTCTTAACTGCTGAGAAACACGTGATCAGTCACCTTCAGTTCATTTCATACAAATAGTAGCGCGCATGATGACATCCACCCACTGTTGTCTCTCTCTCTGTGCCTGACGGGTGCACAGAATCCAGGTAACGCAGGAGCTTCTCTCGTATCCTGCCTGGTGAAAGGATCTTGTGACCGGTTTTGGTTTTTGGTAACGGTGCCTCTTGTGCTTTCCTACTCTTCGCCAGCTGCTCCTCGAGGAGCTTGTCCACAATCTCTACTCTCCTCGCCTTCTGTCTCTCCTTGAATTCCCTGAGAGCACATCAACAGCACACGATTATCTAGAAATGGGGTCATGTATACTTCGGCACACAGTGAGAGAAAACACCTACACACTGCTCCATGGAGTGGGAGTGGAGGACATGCATGCGGGAAAGCGGCATAGAGCAGAGGGGAGGAGAAGGAGCCTGTTCTTTTTGCTAATTTAGTTGGATTTTCAGCAACACATTGGCTGTTACGAGTGTGAAATCAACATCTCATGAAAACAATCCTCGCCACTTGTCATTTTTAGCCGTGTGTCATGTCGAGGGTTCACACATACAACGTGGCGCAACGTGGCTGGAAAAAAGTCCAGCTCTAATGCAACACTGCAACTTTTCATGAAATTTCCGTCGCAATTCTCTTGAGGGGAGAAGGGAGGACGTACTCTTGCTTTTGTTTCATCTCCTCGTCTCGTTTCTGTTGGTATATGTGCCTGGTGCTGTTGATCCCTTGGGCCTGCAGGGTTTCTTTCAGACGCTTCTCCTGTCGTTCTTTCTTCAGGGCGTTTGCTTTGGCTCGGCTCTGTCTGACCCGTAAGTTTTCCTCAAAAAAAAACAAAAAAAAACACGAGCTTAATGAGGCACCACCACAACATCCCGATACACCCATGCAAAACAAATACTGACAATTTATCCCAGAAAACAAATCTAAGCAGAAATAATCGTGATACTATTTCATCCGGGCGGCCCGGTGGTCGACTCGTTAGCGCGTCGACCTTACAGTGCAGAGGTCATGGGTTCGATCCTGGCTCTGGCCTTCCTGCGTGGAGTTTGCATGTTGTCCCCGTGCCTGTGTGGATTTTCTCTGGGTACTCTGGTTTCCTCCCACATTGCAGAAACATGCATGGCAGGCTTATTGAACACTCTAAATTGTCCCTAGGTGTGAGTGTGAGGGTGGATGGTTGTTTGTCTCCGTGTGCTCTGTGATTGGCTGGCAACCGGTTGAGGGTGTCCCCCGCCTCCTGCCCGAAGACAGCTGGGATAGGCTCCAGCACCCCCCGCGACCCTTGTGAGGATAAAGCAGCTCAGAAAATGAATGGATGGATGGATGGATGGATGGATGATTTCCTATTGGAAATTTTGTTTTCGACTTCAAACTAATCAGAGGTTGAGCAGCCGTCCATGACAGATTGCGTTGGACCTTCGACAAATGCGCTTTTGCTTTTGAACAACTGCGGGAGTGGTCTGTGGCCACATTCTACTCACTGTGCCATCCATTAAAATGCAGCTAAACCACCACAACATTCTGTTTCTAAATTAATTTAGTATATTCGACTTCTTACAAGCCTAAAAATGGACACGCTTCAATCGGCATGGTTACCATGGTTGCGGTAATTCAAATTCCAATTGATGGACGCTGATGCATATTACAGAGAGAGTTCAGAATGATCAACAGCATCTTGACTGCGCAGCAAGTCCTGTTTATTTACTTGGAGTATTTATGTCGACAGTAAATGCCTGATATGAGACTCATTTCAACCCTTGAAGATTGTCAGAGGATATTGACGTAAGATCGTGTACATGATCAATTCCGCAAAATAATATGCTGTAGGGTGTGGAGGGCTTTCTTGTTGCTTACTTGGGTCGCTTCAATGTTGGATTTGAGTAACTTGACAGCCTCTATTCTCTTTTGCATTGACTCTCTCTTCCTCTGCTCTCTCTCAGCCTCCTGCTGTTGCATTCTACAAGAAAAGAAGATAGTCACAAGGGTAATACAATTACCAAACTACCCATATCCTTGGTTAACGGAAGGCAGCAAGCAAGTGGGACTAAAACTTTCAATCATGTTCGTTCTGATCTTGGTAAGAATTAAGACTCAGGGATGAAATCACTTATCAAGTCAACATGGAATTACAGTATCTGATTTGTCAATATATCCATTATCATGTGAGCCAATAGAACTTTTGTCACTGAGTAGCATCACTTGTTATTACCTTCTGACCGTTTCCCTCAAGTATTTAGCCCCGACTTTGCGGTTTGCCTGGCCATCTTCATTTTTCTTCTGGCTCAGAGTCCCCGTTTTCTCTAACACGTCTACATTTTTCCTTTCGGCACATGGGATCAAATGCATACAACACAGCAGTTGTAAGTGAATTTTGAGTGTTCATAATGATTATCCTTTTTGCCTTGCACTGCACACCAAAATTTGAAATATTATTGAGGTTCAAGTACATCGCCACTTGAGTGGAGTGGAAAAAAAAATGCACATTCTCTCAATACAGTCTCAAAAATGTGTGCTTTGGGGTACTGGAATGAATAACTGCTATTTCAATTCATTTCAATACAAAAAAACATATTTGCTATAAGAGTAATTTGAGTTTCAAGTTTGATCACAGAACAAATGAAACTTGCAAGTCAAGGTAGCACTGGATGGGAAAGAGTCACACAGTTCTAGACCGAGATCACAATTTCGAAAGTCTGTATGCATACAAATAAACTGCACTCAAATCTATCAAGCCAAAATGAAAAATCATTCCAACTTTTTGAGTTGTTGAATCTTTCGCTGCAGGGTATGACTGTTGTTCTTCTCCTGCTGCAGCCTTTTCACTGCATTCTGTGCTTTGAAGACCTTGAAGACCCGCTCTTCTTCTTGCACCTCCTGCCGCAACACGGAGAACTTGCCAACCTCCAGCTCAACCTCACTCAGCTCTAATCTAAATTCGAAAAAAAAAAAAAAGTCTGACTGAACCACACAATATCCAGAGAGAGCCCAGTGACCAGATCATGAAATGAGGTTTACAAGAAATGGATCCATGCCTATATGTGGGTCATAATTGCTAACTAGAATGGTTAGAAAAATCATGAAACACCGTAGGGCTGCATCTAATGATTATCTGAATAATCAGTTCATCAGTCAATTATTTTGTCGATTCATCGATAAATCAGATTGTAAAAAAAACATGTTTTAATTACCATCCCTTTAAAAAAATAGGGCATTATTTCAAAGTTACAATGCAGAATATTCACAGACAGAAATTAATTATGATTCAGTGACTAGTGTGGTCCGTAACATGTCAAAAAATATGCAGGACGGAGGACTACAAAGATTTGGGAATACTTTCTGGTGAGAGGATCAAATTCCAAAGATTTGAAATATTAGAAATGAAAGGTCTCAAAGTAATTAATACATTCTCAGTTCCAAGTATGTGTTGATCATCTTAGTCGTCAATTACCCGATTAATCGTTGCACCGCTAAAATACAGCGGCAATATCTCAAAGTTGGCAACTCCAAAAAAAGTCACTGCTTTTGTTCGCTGGCACTGCACATTCAAACATAAGCAGCGCATATACTTTATGTTTTGTGTTGACTTCATAACAGCTGTGAACACTGCGGACGGCTCAGATGTGACACATGGACCCTATTTTGCTCGGGTGTGCTATAAAAGCCTTTTGGAGCTTTTGCTAATGAGCCATGTTGGGCAGAACGGTTCGACTGTTTCGCCAAATGATCTGTTAGTTTGAAGAATGTCCTTTCTGTTTCAAGAAATCAGCCAAACTAATGAAAAAAAAAACTGAACAGAAAAAAAAACATGGAATAAACAACAACCTCTGGTGCTCGTTTGGGTTTATCTCGCACAGCTCTTCTGCAAAGTAGAAGGTGGTCTACGAGAAGACGTACATGTACATGAGGTTAACTTCCACAGTGTGGTCCGACTATATTATACTGCATTTCGCCAGGTTCCTCTATTTTTATTGCTCCATCTGTGGTCGCGCCCGCCTACTGTGCGGAACAGTGGTTCAGTCGAGTTAGCCCCTGCCAAAACGCTTTTCCCCAAGGATACTCACTCTTGTTGCCTCAGCTCATTGTTGGTGTGGGTCTCAATCTCTTCTTCCCTCTGCAGCTCGTAACACAGATTTCGATGCTGAGCCCGCAAACGAATAACTGCCACGCTGTGGAGTGACGTAAACAGAGTGGCAAGTAGATACTGGAGTGAAAATGGCTCAACAATTCTGTGATATTATTCCCAACTTTATGATCATTAAAGCACACAGATCTTATCATTCACGATGAACAGACCTGTTCTCTGCTGCTTCTTGATGTTCTATTTCTTGCTCCAAGACATCCCGCTGCTCCAGTAAACTCTCAATGCTCTGACGTAAGAGGTTGAGGTCTTCTCTTGAAATGGAAACAAAACACGAGACAAGACCGACAGCTTTTAAGTGTTGACAGAGAGAAAACAATCCCAAACCAAATGCAATCAGAGGCATCAGTTTCAAGTGTGGCCATCGCCATTAAAAGGGCAGCAAAAACAAACATTGTGATAGGGGATTGTCATGAAAAAAAACGATGACACATGGCGTGTGTCACAAGCTGCAGATGGGTTAAAAGCTGGGCGCGCTCGACTCCCTTAACTCATGTTTGATCAGAGTACAGCGCAGCGCCGTGACGACTGAAAGGTTTTGGCGCAAAAGAAAATGACAGACGCATTTGCTGGCAACCGCATCACACAGCATTGGATGCTTCATCACTCGGCACAGCAGACTTGTGGACAAAAAGGAAGAAAATAGACATCAAATGACCGACATTCTGGAAAGTGCTTTCTTGCAAACTGCAAAATCCAATGCTTGGGAAATTAACTGATTGGGGGCGAGAGCAACATATCATATACACACAGATTGTACCGGTAGATACACCAATAGGTGTCACATTTCAGGCCGTTGTGGACAAAACGTGGATGGATGTGACACAATGCAGGCAAACGTGATGGGAAAATACGACAGGCAAGTGATTGTCATGCATTGTCACATTTGACCATCCGTGGACATATTTTTAAATTTGGAGAAAAAGAATTGCCACTGCACTCCTGGTGCGGATGAGAAAACTAGTTGGCTGTAGTAAAACGTAGTGAACGCAACCTAATGTGACAAAATGTAATAGGTCGAAAGAAACTTGGGAGGTGGTCAGTGGGATGGCAACCATGTTTTTGCCCAGCATCTCTCGGTCGTCTCAAATCACATGGAGTGATTGGCACACGTCATGTCCCGTTTTGCCACATTTTGCCACAATTCTCACTTTTCTCGCACCAAGCTAGATCGAAGATAATCGTTCTGTCGCGTTCAATCACAGCGCATCCTACCATGTGACTATTTACTGGTGTGGCGCCATGTGTCACGTGCACAACTCTCTTCATGATATTGTAGGTTGTATTAGTAGCGTTAGTAATTGTGTTCTACTACAGTCTGACACAGTGCATGTGGTTTGAAAGCGGGTATGAAGCTGGACCCAACAGCGGAGCTTTATTCAAATCTGCCATGGCCACAAACGTGCTGCCTGGGATCTCTGTTTCATCCGTAGAAAGTAAGGAATGCAACAATGTCAAAATTTCATGGTACGATATCTTCATCGTATTCAGCTCATGGCACTCATGGCCCCTGTTGCCAATTCTGGTCATTTTCACGTGTAAAAAAAAAATCAACCACATTTCAACCACTTAACATATCCTGAATATTTCCAAACTCATGACATGACCTTCCCTCTCCTATCAGCAATTTCTTCTTGTGCTTTTGGTTTCAGTGCACGGCGTTGTTTTTTTAAAAGAAGTTCTGTGAAACGAAAATAAAACATTAAATTGCTACTGTGCATGTTACTCGGTAGGTGATCAATGTGCACCTTTGAGCCTCCAAGACGATGGAGCCTGTTCCCGGCCCCAGGGTCGATCACAAATTCCATAATAGACTGTGAAAAAACTAAGTAAGACCTGAATATGAGGGGGAAAAAAAATTGGAAAAAAAAATCCCACAGCACACCGTGTTTAGGGCAAATGGGGGTACCATGACTGCAGGGAACATAGTGTAGAATAGCATTCGGCATTGTTGTGTGCACCGAACCTGGCTTTCAGTAGAGCGCACTCCTTCTGCCTGTGGAAGTTGTCCAGCTGGTCTAGGTTCCGTCTCAGCTTGAACATCCGTGCTGTCGCTGAAAAAGTCCTCTGCTTCTCATCACCACTCTCACAGGCAAGGTCATCATCACTCTCGCTCTCACTTTTGGGGGCAGGGGTGGTGGGTGTCAGCAGAATGAAATTGCAACTGTTGCCAGTGTGATGTGAATTGAACTATGATTTACAAATAATTTTTGTTTGTCCAAAATACTCCACAGAATATCCGCAACTTCAAATACTCAGCTATGGTGATTTTTGAGTAATTAAGACAACACAGCTTGGCTTTGGAATGCGGTTCGAGCCTTGTAAATGTGAAATGTCAACTAGATGCGGAGAGATGCTGGTCTGCTGCTGGACTACTGTCCAGGTACAGCTTTTACTCTTACATCTCTCTTTAAATGCCTGCATGTATGCCCTCTAGTTCCCTGTGTGGTGCGCAACACCAACATATGGCAGAGCAACAATTGAATTTCCACTCAAGGGATTACAGTTAATGATTATGAATAAACAAAATATAGTTTCATGATTATCGTGAATCAAAAATCACCCACTTGTACAATTCTTCTAACCACTCCAGATCAGGAAGCTCCTCTGCTTCTTCATCCTTCAAGTCATCCATCTTCAACTCATCCTCTTCCTTGCCTACAAAAACAAACAAATCAACAGTAAACGAAAATAAGCTATAAAAGCTACAACAGGCCGTAAAAATGCCTGGCAACAACATAGGGTTCACATCCATAGATCCATTTTCTAATCTGCTTCTCCTCACGAGGGTCATAGGTGTGCTGGAGCCTATCCCAGCAGTCTCGGGCAGTGAGCGGGAGACACCCTGGACTGGTTACCAGGAATAGAAACCGATGCTCACTTTTGAATGTTCGGGATGTGTTCATCATTCATCAATATGTTTATTATAGTTGTTCACTAAAGTTTGCAGTGTACAATTACAGCTGTTTCCCGTGAGTTCTATTTTTTTCTACGAGATAATTGCATCTCCAGTCCATGATATATGTATCTAGGTAACACTCACCATCCGTGCCCTCATCAGAGCTAAGCTGGTCGGTTGTCTGTTCACATGTATCAGACGCCACGTCCCATTCACATCCATTGTCCGCCTCTTCCATATTCTTTTGAAGGAAGAACCTGCTAACATTTAACGTGGCTGACCTTTCGTAAAACTTTTTACAGTGTGTTACAGTATATTCAATTGTTCTCGCATATTGAAATACATTCCCATACTTGCCTTGCGAAAGTTAGCGGAGGAGGCGAATTCGTTGCTGTGTTGTCACACAGCAAACCCCGACATGACGTTCGAGGGAACGTTAACGTTTACGTTCTTCGCTACGACGTTACTAATGTGCCTGGAGTCACATAAAAACACGATATACCCAACTCTTACTTACCTCACTCGACCTGTCCGTTCTTTCGTCTTAACGTCGCTCCCTCGACTTTACTTTTTTTGTTTGTTTTTGCTTTGATTAGTCAGCCATGTTTGGCGGTTTCCTAGGAAACAGAGGAAGCCGGAAGTAAACACTTGTCCGGTCCTTGACACAAACCTGACAATGACAGGAATTTAATGATGTGAATGACATCTATTTTAGAACGTATGTCACTTTCATTTGATGGTGGCTAACATTGTCTTCATTTTCATGCTCGTCTGTCTTGTTGTTAAGCAAATTCTCATACATTCAATGTTTTGTAAAATGGAGATAGATAAAGATTCCGTTTTGTAGTTTTGTATTTCCTGGTGAGTTCAACCACAGTGCATAACTATTTCTTCTGAATTATGTGTTTTGAAATTAAGAAGGCAGCAAGATGAATTAGTGGTTATTCAGGGTGTACTTGTATGCCACCTTTCGCCCAAAAGTTGTGGGATATGCTCCTGAACAGGTATGGCTCTCTGATTTTTTTGTTTCTCCCGGGCCTAAAGGGGGGCTTGACTGATACATAGGAGGTCCGACAAAATAATTTATAAATATTTATTAGAAAATGAAATAAAATGCGGGACTTAACTGTGACTACAGAGATTTCTGATGGAGCTACAGCCGCCCTTGTAGCCTTGGTGCAGTGCAATCTCTGCTCCAGAACACCAACTACCTCAATGAGGACATGTGGTATCAAAGATGGATGGATGAGTGGATTATTCAAGTATTAAACAAAGCAATGCAGGACAACACAGATGTAGCAGAAGATTCAGACATTTTTCCACACCTGTCTGAGGCGCATCTACAAAATCAGATGGCAGGACATGATCTGGAATGAAAGAATTGAGGGACCGAGCGGGACAGGAACCAGTGGCCAAGCAGGAAGTGCGGATGAACTGGGGCTGGATCGGACACACCCTCAGGAAGCCAGCGTCCGGCATCACACACCAAGCCCTGAACTGGAACCTGCAGGAGAGGAGGAAGAGAGGTCAGCCTTGCAACAGCTAGAAGTGAGACACAGAGATAGAGCTAAAACAACAAGGAACTGGAATGAGGTGGCCCAAAAAGCTCTGAACACAGTGCGATGGCCTATGCTCACCGGGGCCTAAGAGAGCAAGACGACGACAAAGCCATTCAAATCCAGGGTAGAAATAAAGACCATTGTTTGGTTCAGTCACTTCTCATTGCATAACATAAATAGTCCCATCTAAAATACATTCTAATTTTTAATAGAGCAATGAGACTCTTTACTAACACTCAATGTCATACTGCAGTGTTATTGCTGATATTTCTAAAGCCACATTCAGCAGAAAATGTCTGGACTGCTTGAGAAAGAAGGATAATTTTGTGAGCTATGCAAAATCTTTTGTTCCACATGCCAGATACTGTCCCTATCTGATGAAGCGCCACTGGAAAAAGACATTGACAGTGCATTCCAGCTGATCGGTATTGAAGCCGTGCAGTTTTCTTCATTTGACAGCGCCACTGTCATCCATCCGTCCATTTTCTATACTGTACTCATTAGGGTCGCGGGTGAGTTGAGCGCACCCCAGCTGACATTGGGTGATACAGTGCCATTGAAAAAGTATTTCTGATTTCTGCGTCCTTTGCATATTCGTCACACTGTTCATCAAACCAATTTGTGTGTCACACAGAGACAACCCAAAGAAAGACAAAATGCAATTTCTGAATGCCAACTTAGTTTATTTAGACACACACACACACACACACACACACACACACACACACACACACACACACACACACACATCCATATAGGCTTTATACAATCAGAATGCTGTCCGGATAAAATTCAAACGTCCAGTCGGCTTGGCTATATCTTGTCTAGTCATATATGAACAGCCAGCCAACTACAGCATTAAACTGTAATGGTGCAAAACCAGACACCATATGACAAAATAGGAATGTTTTGTGTATGTACCCGGATATGACATAATGCTGTATGATAATATCGTAAAGTCCCATATTCGTGTCCATGAGACCAGATTGAGTGTGGTGTTAAAATGCCAAGTCAGGCAGGGGAGAACAACAGATTAGTGAGTCTCTCTCTCTCTCTCTCTCTCTCTCTCTCTCTCTCTCTCTCTCTCTCTGCCTTGTGTCTCTCAGTCGGGTGCTACAGAACAGGAGGAGGAGACTGCACTGCGCTGCTGTCTGATCGGTTCGTTGTGGTTTGGAGCGGGACTTTTGTGCTTTTCCTCCAGTGCGCCTTTCCCTTGTGCGCCCTCGGACAACATGGTGTCATCGTCATCATCATCATCATCACCATCAAAATCAAGACTATTGCTATCCTTTTCATCGGCATCAGACATGCACTTTTACTTTGTTGTCCCTCGCGTCACCGGATCACAAGAAGATCTCCTTTAAATAACATTTAAAAAAGCTCTGGCGTTGATTTCCACCGAGGAGAAACTTAGATTTCGTTGGTTGTTACTTCCAACACGTGTGAAGATGGATCTGTCAAATTTCCTGCTAAGCACTCTGGCTCTGCTCCTTGTCGGAAGGGATCTTTTCACCAGGTGAGAGATCAGCAGTGATTTGACTTCTTACAGGTGTCCAGTTATATTTGAGCTGATATGCGAGCTGTTTGCTGCGAGTACGGATGGCATCAATAATACAAAAGGGGTGAAAAGTTGGACACAGCCCTCTAGAAAACAAACTGTATCTGAGATGAGAACACCACTATGAGGTAAACGTGAACTCATTTTTTGCGTTTAAACAGCACTATTTTGGGAGGAGGTGTGGTCTTTTCTCTATTAAGAGTTAGGGTTCGGTTGGTACAAATCTGCCCCTTTGGCTGGAGGGCTGCATGAATAAATTATGCAGAAGTGAATAGGAACAGCAGCAATATTAGTCAGCACCACTGTATGGGGTGGGGGGAGCAGATGAATAAACTATAATCACGCATGCACACACATGAATATGCACATAATGTGAATATGCACACAATGTTGAATGTGAGCGAAGAATAAACATAGGCAGAAGCATTGCAATATCTTTTATAAAATATCTACATTAAAAAAATTGCATTGAAAATCAACATTGGACAGAATATTAACTGAGATAACTGGCTGCCTCTTATAACTGGGTATGTGGCTGTGTTCATCACTAACCAGCTACATACACACTAATTTCGATGAGTCAACTCACACCCGCCACAGTTTAAAGTGCCTCTGATTAAACCCAAATAAACTTCAGATGCTCTAGTAGGCTTTTCATGACATCTTTCTAGCAGAAGTCTGTGGTTGAATGGTTGGCACAGTGCAGAGGGGTCCAGAGTTCGATGTGGAGTTTGCATGTTAACCCCATGCCTGAGTGGGTTTTCTCCGGGTGCTTCGGTTTCCTCCCACATTCCCAAAAGATGCATGGTCGGTTAGTTGAACATCCTAAATTGTCCCTAGGTGTGATTGTGAGTGTGAATGTTTTTTTTGTCCATCAAGTCTGTCTATAAAGTCTAAATGTGAACAAAACTCAAGACTAGGCAGTGATACCGTACACACACAAATGCAGGCATGCACACACATATGTAATTCTAGTTCCAATTGACATACTTTGTATCGTATTTTATAGTAACTGCAATTTTTATATTTAATTTAAGTCACTTGCCCAAAAGCACCAGCAGACTGCTTTACGTCTGTGCTCATGGACTCAATGACACTATTTGCATAATACATATGCATAGGAGGAGGTGACTTGTTTGTTATGGAGATGAATGCCGAATGAGGTGGGCAGGTGCACACGTACTGTATGTTGTGGCTCACAATGTCACTTACGCTCACATACCGGGCCTGGTCAACAGGGGTCAAACATTATGTGATGGAAGAGGAAAAAGCCTATCTTCTGTAAATAGCTCAGTGGAAGTGTGACAACTTTACCGGACTCAACACGTGTGCTCAATTTTGAAATAATCCGAAGCTACCCTGGCCACCAAAATAAATCCCACCCAGGTTTACTGTTTATAATGTATGTCTAGCTATGTAACATATTTGCAGCTATTAGCCTGAAAGCTCTGAATGTGACCTAAGTGATATATGGTTGCTGCAAATGCGTTATAGTGATCGAAATAGTGCACCTTGTTATAAGGTGTGTCATAGTTTTGTTTTTAAAAGTGTTTTCAAAATATACCTTATCTTGTCTCGTCAGATGAGAAAGCGTGTCACAGTGTTTTGTCAAACAGTGTGCTATTGGTCTCCAGCTAAATAATTCAATTCAGTTTCTCCATTGGAATAGATAGGTGCCATTAATCTGTTCAAGTCCCCCTTCCCAAAACTCTCACAAAAAATAAGAAAACAGCATCTCTTTGGGGGGAGTTGCTTAGGCTGCAATTTCTCCAAATGGTCGAATCAAGTATTGTGTTAAAGCACTGATGTCAAACTCAAGGCCCCGGGGGCCAAATCCGTCCCGCCACATCATTTTATGTGGCCCGTGAAAGCAAATTATGTGTGTCAATTTGCACGATCCTTGCTAAAATCTGTATCGAAATGTCAAATTGTCATGTGTCATAAATAACGTTGAGATTTTGCAATAATATTCTTACCAAGTTTACACTCATTTGAACAATAATTGAACAAACTATTACAGTTGACTTGACTGATTTCAAAACTAGTAATCCATTATTTTTTTTGTTTTGTGTGTGTGTACAAGTAATAATGCGAAGACGATTAAACGTTTTTGTGGTTTCACTGTCATAATGGCCCTCCAAGGGAAGATGTAACTTCAAAGTGGCCTGCGACAAAAATGAGTTTGACCCCCCTGTGTTAAGGTGACCTCAAACTTGAAGCTGAAAGCTACCTCAGGTTTTTGTTTTTTTTTAATCAAAACACTGTTTTTGGCTCCTTGGCTGTTAACTGTCAGTTTGGTTTTTTTTTCCCCTCTCACTCTCTCTGTATCTCGTCACTATATTATTTTCTTCTCAGTACAATGCAAAGTGTAGGCTGTGCTTTTTCCACCTCGCTGTGTGTCAGCTCTCTTGCTCTCGGACACTCACGCTTAAAGTTGCAGCCTGCCCGCATCACTAAAACCGCCCACCCATCTGAGAAAATAATGACTCTTACTCCATTTCACCAAAGTTGCTTGCGGGTAAAGTCAGGACTTTGCCACCTATTGCTATGCCTGTTGTTTTTTAGCTTCTGAGCTGTCAGTCACCTTTCGATTCACCACCCCAAGTCTGCATCTAATAATATTTTTTTTCCCCCGGATATAAAAGGAATAGTGCACTTGAGGACATCATATGGAGAGATTATTCAGAGCACTTCATCCACATTAAATCAGTAGAGTTCATCATCATGAGTAATAGCAGTAGACAGGCAAGGACGTGTGATTTCTTTGATCGATGTCAGTTCGAGATGAGCATATGATGGGACTTTTTCTCATCGTAATGGCAGTGTTGACAACTTGCAGAGCCAAGAGATGCCTTGGTACACCGGAATTGCCAAAATACGAGACAGCAAAGAGCATAACATCGGATGAAACATCAATTTAACAGTGACGATAACAATCACTGGCAGGGGGTGACCTCACAGAGAGAACCATGAAATGATCACTCGGAGTAAACTGCTGTCAGCTATTCCACTGATCATAAAGTTGATACGCAATATTTTTTGGCAAAGAGCTTTTTGATTCATGTTTGTTGGAGTCAATTTGTGTCGTCTGTGTTCTTCATGAAATAATTGATGTATCGTACAGGTCTGTGGCAAAGTTATGGCAATTTGTGATCGTTTAAGTTTGGGTATCAGGGAAGAACCAAATTCCTAATCATAGTCTTGAGCGGAAAAAAAAACGTGAAACCCTGATATGAAGGAACTCAGGTCCGAAGCCCTTTATACCCGTAAAATGCATCATTTTTAAAAAAAGCTGGTGTCACCAATAAACTGGCAGAATTTCAATGCAGCACAATACTGTTTCATCGAGTTCCACGTTGTCCATAATGTGACAATACGTCGGCAGAAAAAAAATTATGTTACGCGTGCTACCTTCTGTGTCCGTGATTTACCTCAATACGATTAACTACTGTAATGCACTGTACACCTCTACCAGAACGACTTTAGTAAGTTGAATCGGAAGTTCAATGGATCACTACAAAATACCATGTTTAACATTTTTTTTTTGAAAACTCTTTCTGTTTATTCTATGACAACCGAGCAAGCTACGTGTCAAGCATATTGCCCACTTTTATTAGAAACATGCATACAATGTTCATTGTAGCTCCAGCTCTCTACATACTTGAACAATTTCCGTTGATCAATATTCCGCAGCAGCAGATTTAAAGCGCTCAATGACTTTCTGTATGTTTGCAAACCTAAAGTTGGACGACAATTACTGCTTCTGGTCATTTCAAAAATGGTGCAACGATTATCTGCACACCCGTCATAGTATTGGATTGCACCACTGATCACTTTATCTCTGTTTGATGACTCTGCACATTGTCGCACAGCTGTCATTGGGTCATACTACTGCACAATGGCACCCTTACATTACGGAAAATCTTTTGATACATCTATGTCATGTCTTTGTTTATCATAGTTGCTTGTTATTGCAATACTAGCGTAGCCTGTACTACCGGAGACAAGTTCCTTGTGTGTTCGACGTACTTGGCCAATAAAGCTGATTCTGATTCTGATAAAATATATATATATATTTATTCATACTAGTTGCATGCAATATTTGTTGTTGCACGTCAGTCAGTAAGATTTGAAAGGCACACAATTCAGCTGAGGACACTTTATATTTTGTGAACAGTTAATAAGTTGTGGCGTCCATGTGATCCTCAAATGTAGCATGACAGCTATTGTTCGCTATTCAGAAGTAATTTTTGACTTAAAATTGATCATACGTAACAGTTTTTCAACTTATTTTTTTCTCATTTTCAATCAAGAGTCCAGTTTTCCACTTAGACATTCTTAATTAGCTCAAGATTCATTGTATTGGCTGTCGACCATTCCAGGGTGAACTCTGCTTCGCGCCCTAATGAGGACAAGCTATATCAAAAATGCATGGATGGATGGAGTTTCACTGCAACCAGACTGAAACTTTTTTTTGTCATTGTAGATGTAGTAACTTAGATTTAAACCTAAAAACACTCCAGGGGAAAGTTTGAAGACTCTAACTTTATACTTTTGACGTGAGCTTTTCATACATTTCCCTCTTGCAGAAGCAAACAAATATCCTACCGTCAACAAATCCAATACTTATAAAAGATACATTTGAGGGCAAAAATGTTATTTGTATGTGCTGATTGTATTGAGCTAGTTGTAAAATGTAATGCGAGCATCTGAAATGTTATAAGAGTACTTATTTAGTGTACAGATTGAAATTCAAGCCATTGTTCATTTGTCAATAAATTCATAGAAGTAGATTCTAATCCTTATTAAGGCTTTATCTGGATTTATATAATTGGATCATTTATTCATTTGCATATTACTGAACTTAAAACCAATTAAATTTAAAGGCTGTTTCCGAATGAGGATCAGGGGCCTGCTTCTGTGTTACCAGACGTGCCACCGTCTGAATCTAATTAGGTCTCAAAGCTTTTGCTGCGCATCAAATTCATCCAAAGATGTTGGCTGACACACAGACATGGGTGAAGATCCAGGCCTTGAGAGAGAGGAAGAGAGGAAATCAACTCTCTGAATTGTTTGTCATGGATGGAGGGGTGCAAATGTTTAATGCACCTCCCCTGGGGAGCAATCAAATGTGCAGCCCTGCACGTGTCTTTGAAGAGCATCCACATATATTCCATTTTAGACAGCTGCACAGTACCAATCAAAAAGTTTGAATGCACTTTCTCATGCTATTAAATGATAAGTTGTCTCCAGTGTTTGGATGGGTACACTGTAGCTAGTGTACTGTATACAACTGTATCACAGTACCTTTCAGTGTAAATTTGGCACTGTTGGTAACACTTTTTTTCCCATTGCATTAGGCACTCAGGGGTAGGGGTGACTTAGATCCTGAAAATTGTGCTGTTTTCCTTTTTGCTTTCACATTTTCATACGCTATTTTGTTTATTTGTGCCAAATTAATCTATTGGAGAATTTAATGTTTTTTGTTTATGTTTAATCCTGAAATTCTATCTATCTATCTATCTATCTATCTATCTATCTATCTATCTATCTATCTATCTATCTATCTATCTATCGTCTGCCTAGCTAGCTAGCTAGCTAGCTGTCTGTATATCCATCTTTCTGGCTAGCTAGCTAGCTAGTTTATGCGATGAAAACACCTTGTGCTGTACTAATGTTCATGTTTGTATTTCAAAGTTAACAGTTTTAATAAACTGCAAAAAACATGCCCAGCCATGACTTCATTCTCACCAGAGGTTGAACAGCACTATATTTGTTTACAAAGTTGTGTGAGTTTCGCCAGTCCGCTAGGCAGTTCAACTTCCTTTTCCCTGATTGCAGATGAGTTGTGCAGGAAATTTTGTATGCCTCTATAGTGCACCAAAGTGTATTTTCTTTACGTCTGTGTAGACTCTCAGTCACCCAGGTCATTGTAATCATCCATCCATCCATCATCTGAGCCATTTAAAGGTTACATTGAGACAACTGGACTCTTTTTGTTGCGTTTTTTTTTCCTTGCTTTAAAAACGACATTCAAATATTGCCAAGGCAACTATGCTATTCGGCTAAAGACTTGCAGTTTGAAAGACTTAAGAGCCTGGGTTCAATTGATACGGATGTTTTTGCTCATTGCAAGCTCATCTTAGCACGTGAGGGCTGACTGAAGCCTGTTTGACCTTGTTGTTTTAAAATTTTCCTGTCAAGGAAAAAGAAAAACACGTTTCACTTCCACATTTAGAACTGACCGTTTTGCGAACACAGTCCAGGAGTGACGCAGCCATTTAATTAATTTTCACAATGATCCCATTTAATTCAGACATGGCAGTGATTGCCTAGCTAAAAATACCGCTACTGCTCAATGTGGGAATGATGGCAGGAGTACCGTGGAGCTGGTTCATGTAGATGAATGATATCAAATATGCTCTAATAACAGTTGAAAGTCACACTTCTGCGTAGCTGCAGGTGCAATGTTGGGAAGGTGACTTTCATCAATGTTATGAACAGAGGTCACTGTAATGTTTTGTCTTCAATCAATGTCTCATGCGTCTATTTCTCTGCCAATGCTGCCACGGGATGCTGTGCCCATGATCAATGTCAGCCTCATGTTCGCTTCCATTTATTTTCTGCAAGTTGTCCTGTATCAACGTCAGGCTTGTTGTGAAAGGTCGTCGTATTGAGTGAAAACTCATTATTGAATATGTGCCTCTCATGACAGGGTGGAGGAGACTTGACATCCTGTCAAGTGCAAGAAGATGCAGAGTGTGCTGTTTATTTGCAGCAGACATGGCGCCCCTCATCGCAGGCTTACAGTTTTAAAATGCAAAACTGCCACCTAGTGGTTTTAGGGCTGTAATGCTGCAAGAATCCCTGCACTCAGTGATGCTGTGTTCGGGCTCCAATTGCACATCGATGGTGCGCCAGAGCCTCAGGGCAGCCCCTTTGAGAATCCCCCCCAAACTCCTGTCACAATTCTCTGAGTGCCAGACAGGATTTTTTTTTAATATATGGGCAGAGGGGACTCTTCCGCACTCTGAGATGGCCGTGTAAAAATTTGCAAAGAAAAACAGTAAAATGGGACTGAGAATTATAACGAGAAATGATTTGAGCAAACAAGTAAAAAAAAGGCAACGCAGAAAGCACAACAGCTGAAACAAAAATCGACCCCCTGGTGGACATTTTTTGTGCTTTGTTTATAAAACAAGAAGAAAACAAGTTGGATTTAAAATTTTCTAGAATTTTTTTTTTTGAAGATGAAGGATGAGACTCTACAATACTGTACTGATAATCTAATCTTTTAGCGCATATCTCATTCAGCAAATGCTTAGCTTCCAGAATAAATAAGTCATCATCATACAACCAGAACAACAAATGCTTGGAGAGAAAGTGTTTTAAAAAGCAGAAAAAGAAACTATTCTTCTTCTTCTTCTTCTTCTTCTTCTTCTTCTTCTTCTTCTTCTTCTTCTTCTTCTTATTATTAATAATAATAAAATAATACGCATATTATTTCACTCCAAGAATTATGGATTTAAAACATGTTCAGCGGACACAACATCTTTAATAACAGGTACATACAGCAATTACAGTAAATGTAATGAAACAAAATGAAGCACTGTGGTCTTAGAGTATGATAACAAGGACAGACAAACCAAGAAAAAAAATATGAACGTAAAAGGAAAGATTGTAGATTCGTACAAAGAATTTTATATGGAACAAATTATAAATGTTCAATGTTAGCCCTATAACATGTAAAGTTAAATACCGGTATTTAAATTCAAAGGCATTTTTGAAAAATTCAATGAGGGAAAAAAAACTGCTTTTTGAAATACAGTAAATACAAATATATATATTTATGCATATATGTATCTATTAACTATGGAAGCATTAGAAAAGCATTAGAAAAACATACTGTGTTGTATGCATAGTTCTGACACAGATCCTGAAAGGAACAAAGTCCAAAAAAAGTGTAATGCTCAAAAGTAACTAACAAAACCTCAGCTTTATTTTATTTTACTCTTGCAAGCAACTTTTAAATTCGTGGCTATATTTGACTCCTATTTCACAGACGACTGAACAACTATTAAACTGCTGTGTTTGCTCTTTTTTTTTGTCACCTTCAGGGCCATGCTGAGTGACATTGGGGACTATGTAGGTACAGACATTGAAATATCCTGGTTACCTAACCTGGATGAGCTCATGAAGGGCTATGCCAGAAACTTTCGCCCTGGGATAGGAGGTGAGTATGAGATCTACTGCTTGTGGCATTGGCTCACATTTCATCCCCTGACATTTACAGCCATCCTTAGCATAATTTAACCTTAGCTACACGAACATGCATTAAAAAAAAAACTATGTCTTTGTGTCATTATTTAGTGAGATGTCGTAAACTTACAGTATTTACTGGATGTAAAAAAAAAAAAGAATAAGCTGGACACGGTGTTGTTGATTATGGAAAAATGCACTTTGCTAAGAATGGCTGCAAGATGTGACCCATCCAATGACCACACGGATAGATTTCTCAATCTCACAGCTTAACTCAGTTGTGCAAAGGTGAACATGCAGAGCATGTAATGCACAATGACCATCATCATGCAGCATCCGGTTCTCAATGCAGATTGGTGGATCGAACATCAAATACTGTGTATCAAAAAAAAACAAACAAACAAAAAAAAAGCACATAAAATCACCATGCTTTGTATCATGATACTGAAATAATATTCATGCTACCAAGAATGGAATGTAAACAAGCGAAACAAGGATGCGTTCTTAGGATGGTCTATGTCATCTTGTGTAATTCATATTGTAGTATTTCTACATTTGTGAGTGTCATATTTATGCTGCGAGTGACTTCAAGATTGATGCAGTTTATTGAAGGCTCGCCGCTTTGTCGGACTAGAAAACATTTTCAAACCGCGGCAGAACCTCTGCCGTTCCCATAGGAACTGCTTCACCTTCTTCTTCCTCGCTTTTCCCAAGTGGGGGTTGCCTTCTCTAATTGAGCCACTGACAAAGTGAACAGGGGTAGCTCCATTTTTCTCATTTTGCAGGAGAGAGATTTAAAGTTTTATGACTGCAGCAAAATCTGGGGGATTTATAGCTCGTCTATTTATATGGCAATGATCATTTCTTCTTGATTCTTGTTTTTTTTTTTAATGAAATTTGAGTTTTTCTTTGATTTGGGCATTTTGCAAATAAATAAAGAAATAAATCATGATTTTAGACTTGGATCATATTGGACCTTCAAAAAAGGTGTCAAAAATTCCTAAAAGATGAATAACATATACTTATGCTAATATACTGTACTAGTACCCTTGCGAAGGCATTACTGTACTTGCTTTCTTCCATCAATCTCTTTGCCTCACTTACTTTTTGGGATGTTTTTGCAGCGGTAAAGTTCATGCACTGGTAAAAAAAAAAAAAGTGCTTCGTTTTTCAATTGCACCTGATTAAAATGTGTCCAACTAACACTTCATTCTTTATTTTTGAGGGAAACCACATTTCAGTCATGTGCCACCGATGCACATGGTCGAATTGAGTAAATCCAAAGGATCTTTGTTTCTTCAGTGTGGGCGGAGCTATCGTGGAAAGGGGAGTTAGCACATTGTTGCACTCAAGAAAGTACTAGCCCCTATACGTCAACACTGGAATAATAATAATAATAATAATAATAATAATAATAATAATAATAATAATAATAAGGATGCATTATATATATTTGCTCTGCACTTGACAAAAGTTAAATTCGCCCAATCTAATTGTCGGTGGCTCAATTTGAAGGCTCATTTCCATGGAAGTATTGGCTTCTATACTATATGCACTTTGTACTCGTGCTATATGTCTGCACATGTTCAGCAATTATCTTCAAACATATATAATGTATTTCACTTTACAAGGTCTTTGAAATCCGGCATAAGCATGAATCCACATTGCGACCACAAAGCTTGCATGCATCACAACACCATAAGCTCCTCTGATGACCTTGACAAGCACAGTTTAGTAAACACGGCATTATAAATAACCCCAAAGCGAACATCCAATATCTGGCCAATTGAGTTTGACTTGCCATAAACAATTTCCAGAAGGAAGGTGTTGAATGGTGGGGAAAGGGCCATGTATGATTCCATATAATGTTCAGTCTAAATGGCCTCGATGTTTATGCATCACTGAACTCCCCCGCTAGTTTGTGCCCTCGAGGCTTGCAGGCGCGCTCCATGCTAATCATATGGCAAACTGCAGAGTGAGAACCCCGGCCATGTATGTTTGTGCGCGTGTGTTTGTGTGTGTCGCTATACTGTATGTGTGGGTGTGCATGAATGCCAGCAGAAGCTTGCCCCGTGTGAGCCCATGAAAGCTCAGTGGTGTTTATGACGGCTCGTGGTGTGATGCGCCACTTAGCATGGTTCAACTGGATAATGCCTAATCTCTCTGCACCGTAGGAGTGTGGGAGATGTGGGAGGAAAATAGACGGTGTGATGTAGCCGTGCGTGTCGATGTGTGTGTGCCTTTCTCTTCTCACGTCTCCCACTGCAGGTCCGCCCGTGAACGTGGCCATGGCGATTGAAGTGGCCAGTATTGATCACATCTCCGAAGCCAACATGGTAAATTTGAGCCTTTCCCGCGTACGCACAGCAAAAAAAATAAAAAATAAAAATCAACCCTCCGAAAAGATCACAGATTTGCTTTTCTTAGAATCCTGATTTATCCCTTTGAGGGGTTGGAAGCAGTTTGCGTGAACACGTTGGACACATTGCCGCGCTGATTTGTTTCATCACTTACTGTGTTGTGTGGCAAAAAAAAAAATCACATCTGTTTCAAGGACTGCATCCGCGCTGGGTTTTTATTTTATTGTAAATGTGTTTACATGTGCAAAATCTTCTTTGAACAATGATTTAAACCCTTTCATGCACCTTGTAACCCAGGGGTGTCAAACTCATTTTTGTTGCGGGCCATATTGTAGTTACAGGTTTCCTTGGAGGGCCGTTATGAATTTTGGGAACCCATATAAATGTTTAATCACCTCCACATATTACATATACAGCACACAACAAATTGATGGATAACTAGTTTTAAAATCAGAAGTCAAGAATAATGACTGTAATTGTGAATTACATATGACAATTTGAAATTTTGGTTCAGACTTTAGCAAGCATCATGGAACTTGACATGCTTGATTTGCTTTTGCGGGCCACATAAAATGATGTGGAGGGCCAGATCTGGCCCCCCGGCCTTGACTTTGATACCTGTGCTGTAACCTGAGAACATGAGAAGCTGTACACTGTAGCAACCGCTGACCCTGAAAGGGTTAAATACTGTTGAAAGTTATAACGAAACTGGTTGCAAAAATCCGTGTAATTTACAGTGTTGCTTTATTTGTCTTTGAAACCTTTTTTGGGAACGTAACCCTCCTGAAAACTTGATCAACTACCGGAAATTTTAAGTAGCACTTGTTACAGACTTACAGTATTGTCAAATAGCGGCTTACATGGAATGTCCATGTTTTTGCTTGGCTGTTTGAAGCCTTTATTCTTATTATTACAGAAAGTTCAATTAATCCAAAATGTGCTTTGTAAATTGTGTTTTTGCTGCCGCCAATTTGTCTTCAAAGTGTTTCTTAATCGCTATGGGATCAGTTTAATAAATGCTAAATAATATGTTAGCCATTGTCGTTAGGAAACATAGAGCAAGGGTCACCAACACCGGTCCTCCCCTTTCCACGTTTTAGATGTTTCCCTCCTCCATCACACCTGATTCAAAAGATAAGGATCATTTTCATGCTTCTGCAGAGCTTGCTGATGATCCGATGGTTGAGCCCCTGCTTAAGAATAATCAGACTCCTGTAAAAGTCAGAAGTAGTCCTCCCAATAGTAACCTGACCAAGAGTAGGTTTTCGGTGAACAAAACAAAAACAAAACTCAATTCCTGAATGACTAACTGGTGAGTATCTTCTAATTTTTTTTGTGTTTTTTAATCAAAGCATGACTGTCCACTCGGCAAAAATATAAAAAGGGGAATTGTCCAAATTCAGATTTTGCCCAACAATATCACTTCATGATACATTTTTAAATAACATAGATGAAGACACATTCTGCCAGAAGAAATTGTCGTAAACAAACTTTATTTGCTCACAATCGCATGCGCCGCACACTGAGCTCATTCGACAGAAATGCCGTCGTCCTAACCAGTTTTCTTGAAACTGTGCTTCTGTGTGTGCCGACATGTGACTGCCTGGGTTTATTTGATTGTTCAACAAGAGTGAAACCTTCCTGATAGCTCCATTGGATTGGTAAAACAGTCATGCGACATCAGCCAAGGTGGAATTCTCACTGATGCGCAAGCAATAATAGAGGAATAAAAATCTCAGTAATGAGTGGAATGTGGATCCGTGTGGCTCAACAGAATGTTTCTTCTTAACAAAAGTAAACGAGTAAAACGTGTATTGCCTTAAAACTACTCAGACGAATAGCATTTACTATACAGTGATCCCTCGCTACTTCGCGGTTCACTTTTCGAAAATGCCGTAAAAGGTCCGCGAGAGGCAGCGAAAGTCAGCAAAACAACGAGATAAGGTGATGTCTCTTGCACATGATTATTTTATGGATGTTCGCTTCCCTCTTTAGACTGTGGTCTGCTTGAGAGGAGTGGGCCAGTGGCTGTCTGCCTCGTCGCAATGCCTCACCCGTCGCAATCTTACAAAAAACAGGCCCCCGAAAGCAAAACAAAAAAAAAAAAAACATCTTTGATCCTGACTGAACTGAGTTGTGAGGTGATAAAGTGCAGTAGCTAAATCACATGTGTCAAACCCAAGGCCCGAGGGCCAGATATGGCCCACCACATGATTTTATGCGGCCCGCGAAAGCAGCTCAAACATGTAAACTTCCATGGTCCTTTCTAAAATGTCTACCAAAATTTTTAATTCTCATATGTAATAAATAAGAGATATATTCTAATTTTCTTGTTACCAAAACCCTCATTACAGTAACTTAAACAATAGTTGAATAAACTGTTATTCTTGACTTCTTTATATGTCGTAACAGACCTCCAAGGGAAACTGGAACTAAAATCAGGCCCGAGACAAAAATGAGTTTGACACCTCTTAAATGATCCATCCATTCATCCATCCAATTTTCTGATCGGCTTCTCTTCGCATGGGTCGCAGGGCGTGCTGGAGCTTATCCCAGCTGTCTTCGGGAAGCAGGCGGGGGTACGCACTGAACTGGTTGCCAGCCAATCGCATGTGAATTGAAAATGAAGCTTTTCAATTCACATGCTATCAGATGGCACTGAAGCAACGCTTTTATTGCCTTGGCTTGAGCACAAAAATGACAAACAGATGAGTTTTGAAGCAAATACCTGCCCTGATTGTACTCTAATAATTGTATAGCAAAGACATTGGTCATCTACATACATTTCAACGAGTGTCCTTCAATAAATGGTTAAATCGCATCTCTTAAATTAATCTTCCTTATGGTCTGTTTGTGTGTCTGCGGCTGAGCTTCCATGTTTGTGTGTGGTTCTTGGCAGGAATACACCATGACCGTGTTCCTGCGGCAGAGCTGGCACGATGACCGCCTGTCCTACAACCACACCAACAAGACGCTGGGATTGGACAGTCGCTTCGTCGACAAGCTTTGGCTGCCCGACACCTTCATCGTCAATGCCAAATCGGCTTGGTTCCACGACGTTACTGTGGAGAACAAACTGATACGCCTGCAGCCCAACGGTGTCATTCTATACAGCAGCCGGTACGAGCAGAATGTTGACCATGAAACCAACCCAATAAAGGAGGCTTTTTTTTTTTTTGCAGCCTTCAAATGTTTACACTTGAGGAAATGTGAGCGCACCGATGTCTCCTACTTACTGCGCCTCATTATTCATGCCACGAAAGGCGAATAAACACAGTTTCTATGGTAACCTCTGAAGTTTGAACTTGTTCGTCTTGAACCGCCAGCAGCTTCTGCAGCAGCACTGCACAACCTCACGAGTGTCATCAGAGATGCGTACAGTTTCATAATATTTTTACTACAACCTGCAAGGCGCCAGAAGAAGTTGGGAAAAGCAAATAATGTTTTGACATTGGACTAACTTCTTTTTTTTTTTTTTTAACTAGAAATGTATGGCTGTGTGGCAGCATTCGGTATTTTTGGTGTAAAATAGTGAATAATTACAAGAACATTATAAGGACGATGAAAATACAATAAAGTAGACTGATTAATTTGTTCCACCCCACCAGAATCACCTCGACAGTGGCATGTGACATGGACCTGACAAAATATCCCATGGATGAACAGGAGTGCATGCTTGACCTGGAAAGCTGTAAGCTGCTCATTCAATGCTTTTCCTGATTCTTAATCATTTAAAATGCGGTGTACTGTATTGAAAAAAAAAAATGATGTCATTGATTAATTGACTTTGCATTGACTTTCATCACATTATAGTAAAATAAATAAAATATTTCGGGTTTTTTTTGTTTTTAAACACAAGAAGCTGCCTGATCTAGTGAAGATTATTGTTTGATAAAAACAACAGCGTGCTTTTTTTTTTTCAAATATTAACATCCTATTGGCATGTTAAAATATGATGGCCTTTTTTTTCTTCTCATGGGTGGTGTCGGGAGGAAAGTGGTATACCATACACCAACTCTGATAGGTTGCTGAAGGATGTGTGTGACTTAGTTGTGACACTCATTTAAAGACAATTCAGAAAAAAAGACGGGATTCGTAGACCCAGGGAGCGCTACATATGCACGTCTGGGGGCCCAAGTAGAGTATTTGTCAAAGATGCTGTACCATTGGTCGAAACTACTCAATTCTTGGCCTGGAAATACAGTTTACAATATTTATCTTTTGTTCTGTTTTAGACGGTTACTCCTCAGAGGATATTGTGTACCATTGGTCAGAAAGTCAGAGTCACATTCACGGGCTGGACAAACTGGAACTGTCACAGTTCACCATCACAGACTATCGGTTTGTCACGGAGATGATGAATTTCAAATCTGGTGAGTCTTCATCGTGGTCGAAGCTTAATTAAAAAAAAAAAAAGTGTTTTACGCAATATTGTCGTGCTTTGACTCCCCGCCTTTTGAAGCGAGGTGTTCTTTTAATTGAGGTTGCTTTGTGGTTATAGTCTTTGCACAGAAGGAATGTATGACGGCTCTCCTGGTGCAGAGCCACACAGGATGGAATAGGAGACGATAGCAGCTACATTGTATAGCACGGATGGAACAGTCTACAACGCCTCAATGTCTTACAGTTTAAAGCTGTGACTCCACTAGCACACACAAACCACAAGCCTGAAAATTCCCCTCCATCAGCATGTCTGACGAACAGCTGAATTTCAACTCACAAGACATTTTCATAATTGATAATTACACTGTTCAAAAAAAAAAAAAAAGCAATTAACCACTGGTTGTCCTTTTGTTTTTTCTCAGCGGGAAGATTTCCAAGGCTCAGCCTTCGCTTCCAGCTGAGACGGAACCGAGGAGTGTACATCATCCAGTCATACATGCCTTCCATATTGCTGGTTGCCATGTCCTGGGTGTCCTTTTGGATCAGCCAATCAGCAGTCCCTGCTCGTGTGTCCTTAGGTTGGTATTGGACATGGCAAGAAAAAAAAACAGAGCTCAAGATCGATTCAAAAATTTATTGACAGGTTAAAGGACACGCTATACAGTAAAGATTATTGTATTTGTTGTTGTTTTTTTTATTTAATAACTGTAACTAACGAGAGGGAAGTGTTATGGCCAAAGAACTTTATAGGATAGGCTCCAGCGTGCCGGCGACCCTTGTACGTATATGCGGCTCGCATAACGGATGGATGGATAGTTTAGTGTTTTTCGTGCCCTTCGTTTTCATCTTTGTTAATTAATTTCCTACATCATGACCTTTTAGGGTTTATTTCAAATCGATTTATTTTGGTATTACTGTTTGGTACAGAAGAAAGAATGTCCAATGGCTTTCAGGATATTGTAGCTTAGTTTACTTTCTTACACAATATTTGTTTGACAGTTTTTTTAAATCTTGCATTGGACAAATAAAAAAAAATTAAAACAGAATCTAAAACTAATAAAAATAAACGAAAAATCCTTGTCAAATAAAATGAAAAAAAAAAAGCAAAAAAAATGCTTTAAAAATAATTGAATTTAAAAAACAAAAGTTAAAATGAAATCAAAGAAAACTATAGTGCGAAAGTCCAAAGCTATTACAACCTCGCTCAGGAGCAATCCCTTTCCAACTGATCCCACTTTAGATGTTAGCAGCAGAAATTAACAATTTAGCAGATGCACATTTGACACAAGTCTGATATCTAGAGCCTTACCGCCATAGCTGTAATTATCGATCGACATATCATGTTTTATCCCGACAGGCATCACGACCGTTCTCACCATGACCACCCTGATGGTGAGCGCCCGCTCCTCCCTGCCTCGCGCATCAGCCATCAAGGCCCTGGACGTCTACTTCTGGATCTGCTACGTCTTTGTGTTCGCTGCACTCATCGAGTACGCCTTCGCTCATTACAATGCCGACTACAGGCTGAAAGAGAAAGCCAAGGTGAAGGCGAGCAAGCTCGGCTCTGAGGTGAGGACTCCATTCCTGTTCAGTTTTGGCCTCTTGGCTGATAACTGCTATGGGCGACCTTGGGAGTAATGACCAACACAGAACCTGCACTGGCTTTTAAACCACAGAGCTGACAAGCATCGATGCCGCTGACCTTGAGCGATGCTATGGAATTCCAAAGCATATGAAGGGAATTTAAAATATTTCCTTGTAGGGCGCAATAAAAATGGTGTCATTCTTTGCTAGAAATAAAGTCCCATTATTAGAAGTTTATTACATTATTAGAAGTACCAAGAACTAAACTGGGGCTCAGAGGGGATCGAGCCTTTTCTGTTGCTGGTCCCTCTCTCTGGAATGACCTCCCACTGAGCATTCGGCAAGCCTCCTCGCTGCCCATCTTCAAAACCCGCCTCAAAACTCACTTGTATTCTTTGGCATTTGACTCAGCATGACTTAGGTTGTTCTTGGTTTTGCTGTTCGGTGCTTTCTACTGTTTTTATTACCGATTTGCTTTACTGTTTGTTGTATATGTTAATTTGCTCCATGTACAGCACTTTGTATGCAGCGATGGCTGTTTGAAAGTGCTCTATAAATACAGTTGAGTTGAATTGAGTTGAGAAATAAAGTCCCATGCAAATGTAGCCCACTCGGATTAAAACAAACAAAAGGAAAGATAAATATAAATCTCAGTGTGAATAATTCATGTTACTTATCAACATTAGATAGATAGATAGATAGATAGATAGATAGATAGATAGATAGATAGATAGATAGATAGATAGATAGTCAGCAAAATTGGTCTGGGGCAGTTCTGGGCCACATACACCACTTGCACTCGGCCCACATACCTCAATGAATTACGGTCCTCGAGTGGCCCACATCTGGCATCCACAATGTGGGCCACATAAAGCCCATATCTGAGACACATTGTATAACCATATCTGGCCCTACTGCGGCCCGATGCTGGGTCAGAACAGGTTCGTGATATCAGCCTTAATTCAACCTTAACGATAGGTAGATAGATAGATAGATAGATAGATAGATAGATAGATAGATAGATAGATAGATAGATAGATAGATAGATAGATAGATAGATAGATAGATAGATAGATAGATGAGGAAGCGAGCATCTCTTTTCTTTTTTTTTATGTTCACCAAGCGAGGAAAAAAATAATAAGGAAAGACACATATACATCTCTAGGTAAAGCAATCTGCCGAAAGAAACTAGTGGCTGCAAGGGACGGCCGAGTCAACGACTTGATGTCACATTTGTTCCGAACATTATGTTGTACATTTAAAGTAACCACGATGATGATTTTCGAAAATACAAGATATTCAACAGATTTTCCGACATTGCACTGTTTCTACATCAATTCTTCAAAATATGAGGTGCTCTTTACTGTAGGGGCAATTAAAACAGCAACAACAAAAGCAAAGACAGTTTGAGAAAATAAAAAATCTAATTGGTATCAGTTCCAGCCAGGGTCTCCTTGATCAACTGCAATGTTTTCACTTACAAGCATTATCAATAGTTCAGATTCAGACTATTTTGTGCTTACAAATGTCTCCTTGTGTCCTTGCAGTCCATTGTGAAGAACGGCAAACAGGCCATGGTTCTGTTCTCCTTGTCTGTCACCGGTATGAACCAAGGGGTGGTCATTTCCAACCGCCATAACCGTGCACAGCGTTCCAGCAGCGAGATCCCCGGGGAGGCTGTCTCAGAGGAATCCGAGTCCAGTAGGCGGTCCAGACAGATGAGAGAGAGCGAGGAGGAAAAGAAGAAGTGTTGCTCCAAGTGCGTTTGTAAGCCTATTGACGCCGACACCATTGACATCTACGCCAGGGCCGTGTTTCCTTTCACCTTCGCCGTGGTGAATGTCATCTACTGGGTGGCGTATACCATGTAAAAGGGAAGACGGATGCCCGATGGCTTTCATCCAGGAAGGACTGTGTATATACGATACTGCTGGAACTGCGCCACATCGGTGTTGGCAAGTCATATGCAGCTGAAACACGCTGCGGGAAACACAAAAATAACTTTCGAGGGAATGACGGGTTTCAGCCTGTGAAAATGGAAAATGTGGCTTAAGGAACAGATGGGACCTTCAAATCTTAACGCGGACGCGGAATGCAAGTATGCAATGTCACATTGTCCTGGACAGCTTTAATAAGTGCATCTTCACCCTGCTCGTCCACCTGCAGTAGTGACCCCAGACACACATAGACGATATCCAGGAAACTGTCGCTCGCTTCGACCTGCAAGTGGGCCGTGTGTCATCGTAGCACCACTTGATCAAGGACAACAAGACGAGGTGTTCTCACTACTCTGCATGGCTCTCTCACTCTCTTCCTGCGCCATAGCCGTCCTGCCCTTTTGCGCCTTATCCCCGTCGTGGTCTGCCACCTGTTTCCTTCCAATTTTATTTTATTTTTTTGGGGGCGGGGAGGGAAGCCTTTCTGGAACATCTTGTCTCCTTCTAGTTCTGCCAATTTCCTCGCCATTAAAGGACTTCTTTCACTACTGGCCTCAGTCTGCATGCATGTGCAAAATAGTCCCCCCCCCCCCCCCCAAAAAAAAGGTTTCAAACTAAATCCACGGGTGTTCCTAAAATGTGTTTTAGATACTGTATATTGCAGTGTTATATAACCTATAGATTTAATCAATAGAATTAATTTCATGATTACATAGAATTCAGTCAAGCAAATAGATATTATAATAATAATATAATCCAGAAAAAATCTGAAACTTTAGATGCCCCGTGACTGACTGACGATCATTTTGTACCTTGCATCTCATCCAAAGTCGGCTTGGGATTGGCTCCAAGTTGGGCTGTAGAAAGGAAATGAACGGATTGATCGACTCGGTGCAATTAAGTTTATATATCCCCGGACCTTCGTTTATTTTATAGTGACGGGTATTTATTGGAAATGCAGTTGGACAGAACAAGGTTTGACAAGGGACAGAAGGAGAACAGATGTGATCACCGTTACATTCCATACAAAATGTCCTTTTTATTCAGAGCAACAAAAATACAAAGTAAAACAAAATGTCATTTCCATATTGACAGATATTAAAGCAATTATTTGAAATAACGTTAAGAGTGGGATTTGTTTAATTTTAGCTGTCAATTTTTTTTTCTTTTCTATTTGCCATCAAACATTGAGTGCACCACTTCAGTCATGCACTGTTTTATTTCTGCATCTGAGGCTGGCTTCTTGTGCTTACCCGAAAGCCACGCGCCCACCCCCATGTGAGCATTTTGGTGCTTTTTGTTGTCATGTCATGTGACAAGAATCCTGCTTTCGTTTTAATATGACAATGACAGTGCATTTATTCTTGCTCTTACTTCTCTGACTTCTGAGGAAAGCTTTTCTGTACTTCAGCCCATGCCATTTTCAAATTGCACAGCTATGGACTCCCGGCATGGGTCTTGAATGCAAATTTTACAGTTCACCCTTTTGTGAATTGCAGATTTTCACAGTCCACTTTTTTTTTTTTTTTTTGGAACCAGCAAACTTTAAACATCCTTTTCGTGCAATCTCGGCTCCTGCGGCTGGCAAAGTCTCAACAATGTGCCAACTGTTGTAAAATCAAAAGTCAAAAGTGCAGTGAACTGTGCGAGACCCAAAAACAGGCTGACTGTGTAACGTTGGCATGGAGACAAGCCCTGTGATTGACTCATGACCAGTCCAAGGTAGTCATCCTTCCCCCCCCCCGAGCTCTCTTGTTTACAGTAGGCTGCAGCTCCCTGTTAAACCTCAAACAGGATGTGTGGTACAGAAAAGAGATGGATGGAAGTTTGCGTCTTGACCGGTCTTCCGAATAAACACGGAAGCCCCCCGTGTCCCAGGCTTCGCAGAGTTTCGAGGCCAATGAGTAGTCGAGACCTGGCAATGTAAACACTAGTTGGAACAGCGGCTTTCTGACTGCGAGCTGCTGAGCAACACTCTCCCAACTGCTCCAGCTCATGACATCATGACAGATAACAATGAAGAGGTGAGACCAAAAAAATTAAAATCTAGGCTGGAGACATGCAGATTCTTGACATACAGTAAGTAGCCTTTTGAATACTTTCAGCACATGGACGGTAATAGTGCGTTAGTGGATTTTTTTGTTGTCATTCTACACTGCCACGTTGGATTTGAAATAAAACAATCAAAATGTTTAAATTACATTTTTAAGAAGGTTGTTGTGACAAGCTGACGTTTGACCTCATCTTCCTGAAAAATTTATTTCAGAACCCTCGAGGAGTTCCCCCCGACCCCTTCGCATCTTGCTTTCGTGTTCTTGAATGTTACCAGTGGTTTGCATCTTAATTTAACCCCCACTACATTAAATTCAATGTACGAATGACCTTTTACTTCTCAGAGAAGCAAAATAATCCATTTTGAAGACAAAGATCTGCAACCTATGTTCATGGGTGGCCCCAAAAAGTATCGTGAAGTTCAATCAGTGACCTGATAGCAAGCAGGAAATACTTTTCATGGACTCAGAGACGCACGTGAAAGCAGAACGACCCTCAAACAAGCAGCAACTGGACCAACCCATCTTATGGATTTCTTCCAGGATTCTTCTCCATGGCAAGCATTATCAGCAAAAGCATAAGAGCTTGACTTTTGGGTGCCCCCTCAAATGTTAGTCGACATCATTCTTTCATTCATCGAAGGTCAGAAAGAAACCTGGACAATTCTGCACATTATGCATATCTGATACAGCTTTCATTCATCGAAGGTCAGAAAGAAACCTGGACATTTTCAATTCTGCACATTATGCATATCTGATATATGAATTGTTCTGATTTCATAATGACGAATATAAGCGATCCAATTGGATCGCTGGATCACTGAGAAGTCATTGGTTCGTTTTACAATCGGATGTGGGGAATTTTCAAAAGCCTGAATAAAAGTCAATGAAAGTATTGATGAATAGACCTCATGACAAGGGCCATTCCTGATCATTTTGAGTGATACAAAGGGTGACATATCCGATGTCATCATGGAGTCACCATCACGAATCCCGCTCACCGCATTCTTCCGTGCCCTCGGCGCTCCGACCCGATCATCCTTTTGGCTAATTAATAGTGGATATGTTTCTGCACATCTACAGTGCAGTATGAATGGTTCAGGACAGCCTCTTGAGCACAAGGCTTCATGAGCAAGGGAGCTGCATGCGGTTTGTTTCTTTTTGTTGCCATTTTTTGTTTCCTCTCACACGTGCAAGTCTGACACTGACCTCTCTGTGTAAGTCTTAACGACTTTACAAAATCCCATCAAACTGCAAGAGACCTTTTGCTGCAGTTTCATTCTCACCCGTACGGGAACTGTGTTATCTATTGTGTAACATAATGCACGTTCTGTGCAGGTTCTTTTTTTTTTTTTTTTTTTAAACCATGTGCCATCTATTTAACATCCTACTGGCTGTCCTGAGCCGCGTCCTGTTTTTTGTCCATGGCATCGTGACAGTGTGGCGAGTGGTGGCAATAAAAGGACCAGCGTATTGGGTTCTCCTAGTAGGAGTTTCTCTACTGGCAGTTGAGATTGCCATCACCCTGAAGTACACCAAAAATGCAGAATGGAAATGGTAACACACATCAATATTGACCGGGACATTTATGACACATTTGACAAGATGAGGAAAATAATTATATTCGTGGAGCAGGGGTGGGGGGGACGCAAATTTTTTTGAGCAAGTGGGAAATGGAAAATTTTTAATCGAATGAAAGGTTTGAATAATATTCCGTTCGTGATAATGACAATGTCAGCAAAGAAATTACAGACAAAAAGATACCCATCAGTTGTGGCGAGTGAGTTTTGAACTCGGGCCTTAGCTCTTTGACGTTTTTACCGAAGCGTGAAACGGCAACCTTCATCTTCCACCTCCAAACAACTCCAATCTTCTACATCAGTGATTCTCAACACGATTGTGCCGTGAGCGCTCTCAAGTTGTGCCGCGCTAAAGAATCAAATTTCACTTTATTATTCCAATTTAAAAAATATATAACAAGCAATGGATCTTTCGATTTGTGCCAGTGATTTATAGAGCGAACTGTTGCGCTCTATAAATGCTTCCTGCTCCCGATAGCACCCAAAGAATTCATTTCCAGGGTTGAGACAAGACAGCCAGCCAGAGCGTTAGTTGACATAGCGTCATAAAGTCCCATTTTTCTTGAAAAGTGCACCTTGAAAATTATACTGTATTTTTTTAATCGTGTCAACCTACCCTGTAAATCGATTTTCTGATTTTATTAAGCTCAATCAATAACAACTCCACCAATCATTGGATGGAAAAATACCAGCTAGCAGGCCTCATTTGTTGAATCTGAAATAAGATGGGTTAGAAAGAAAAAAATAAATCTCAACGATGTCTTAATCTAAGTTTGCAATTTTAAGCACTTCCTGTATTACAAAAGCATTTGATAAGATATCCTACCCAGATTTGTTTAACTGTCATCAGTGGTTGTACAAATTGTATTTATTCAAACCTCATTTAATACACCTCCCATTGATAAAAAGTCCAAGGGAGTGATACGTCGCAAATTGTAAACTGGCCCAGCCCTTCCAATCACCGGTCTGGAAATGTTTGACGAACCGATGAATATGCATTCCCCAATGTGATGGTGCCTGATCCCAAAGTGAGATGAATCATTACAACGACCCATATTTAAATTAGGCCAGATGGGGAAAAGCAGCCTGTTGAGGTTCCGGCTAAAAAATAAAAATAAAATAAAAAATATCCCAAGACCTCACTCGAAAAGTTTTTCTCCTAATGATAGCGCATCAAAATTTGGACAGTGTACAGTTCTGCTAGTTTTAAGAGGCAGCTTGCGATAGACCCACAAAACTCCTTGCCACTAACTGTTGTGTTATCCTTTGCAGCTTGCTCTGCGTTGCTGTCTAGAAAAAAAAATAAATCCTCCGTGCGGTTTTTGCTCGCGCCTTCACAGCGACGTGAAGGACCCAGCATTTTTTTTCTTTCTGTAGTTAATCATTTTGTCTGTGTGTGTGTGTGTGTGTGCATGTGCGTGTGTGTTTAATGGTAACATATAACAAGAGGATTTGTCTTGTGTTCAAATAAACTGCGGCCGACCTCCATTTTGCTAGCTTCGAAAGGACATGAGTGTTTAGCGTCACACCTGCTCACGTAGGAAAGCTGACGGAACGTTCCCCGACACGAGCTTTCTTCGGGCCCTCTCACTTTTTCTCCGAGTATTCCTTTGAAGTTCTCTCGTCATGCACGAGGCTATGCGCTGTCAAGTGGGATTTGCATTTATGATGAGAATAATTGCCCCTCTGAAAGAAGATCCTTTCAGAGGGAAGAAATGGACCTCTTTATTCTGTAGTGCCTGGCTCTAAAAATAACCTACCACTCTTAACCCCCCCCCCCACACACACACACACACACATACACGCTCCACTCAATAGTTTTAAGTCAACAGTGCTGCGTCCAATCAGTTTTGTTGGATTTGTGAGTAGAGCACACAGTTACTTCTGCACGCATCACTAAGAAACACCAGTGAGCCCGTTCACTTAGCATACATGAACGTGTGATTTGACACATGATGTGGTATGCTTTGGATCATGAGTTGTATCTCTCCATATGTTTATCTTCTAATTTTGATACAAGTTGATCATGATCTTAGTTTCATCCGTCCAAAGAATGTGATGACAGACGTTTTTTTTGTACTTTGTATTTAACGTACAAAAAATCTCTTGGGTTTACAATTTTTAGAATGACACATTTGCTTTTCCAAAGTCTTCTTGTCCAGTGTTGAAAGCATGCAATAAATAAGAATCGACCTCTTGTTTTAGGTTCTCCCCGATGGTTTTTCTCTACCTTTGCACTGTCGTTCCGTCCATTTGGGTCTTGGAGCTGAGCCTGTTGAAAGGGCAGACACGCGCCAATACAACACATGCCGAAAAACTTTTGCAAAGGATGCAGTTATCATCGGTAGGTGTCCTATCTTGAACCTCCGCTTTCACTCAGCCACACTGGGCCTAACAAAATCATTAGCAAGTCGATTCATTGCAGGAAAAGTTATCATTACCCTTTGGGGCACAGGTGTCAAAGTCAAGGGCCAGGGGCTGGATCCGGCCCACCAGGTCATTTTATGTGGCATGCAGGAGTAAATCATGTGTCAACTAGCATGATTGTTGCTGAAACCTGTACTGAAATGTTAAATTGTCATGGCTAATAAATAATGTTGAGATTTTTCACTGGCCCTCCGAGGGAAGCCGCAACTCCGAAGTGGCCCACGACAAAAAATTAGTTTGACACCCTCACTTTAGAGTCTTGGTGGGAAAAAAAATATCTTTATTCTTCTGTCATGGTTTTATTCGTTTTTTTTTTTTTTTTGCGGAATTTGTGCAGGATTAAAAAAAAATCATGTATCTAGCCAAAGAACCTATGCAAACTCTTAAGAGCATTCAGATTAAGCGCGGCAATCTAGATTTTGCATGGGTCAACTTTCGATCATAGTTACACTTAAACTTAGACTAGAACAAGTGAACAATGTCTATCATTCCTGTTCATCTATGATATTTGACTTCGGTGCATGATGGACAATGCTGTGCTTTTGTTCCGGACCTAGAAAATGATTTATCTCGACCCAGACGAATGGGTGACTGGTCTGGAGCAGACCATGCTCATTGTGCTGGTGATCGGACGCTGGCTGATGCCAATGGGGCACATGTCTCGAGAGCAGCTCTCCCAGCTCCTCATGGTCTACGTGGGACTGGGCGCCGACATCCTGGACATCTTTGATACCTTCAGGTTAGAGGAGATCATGATCAAGAAAAAGCTGGTCATCATTGGTTTATTTCTCTTCACGTGGGCGCTGATGCAGTTCCCTCTGGTGCTCACTCATAAGAGTGGGCAGGAACGGAGGACCGCGGGGCGCTTTGTCGGTGGCCGTATTAACAACATTACCAATAACATGAAGACGTGCTGCCCGAGTGAAGTGTGGATCTTGCTTCTAACGGTGGGACTCCAAGATGGCCCCTTCATGTGCTACCGTGTCTATCTCATGCTGCACGAAAAGGTGCTCAACCAGCTGATGATCTTCTTCACCTGCAAGAACATTCTCGTCGTTCTCATCGAGTTCTATCGGATATTTGTGGTGAAATGGGAGCATCAGAAGAACAGGAAGTATGGAGATTTAGCCACCAGGGTGACATTTTGTGACGTCTGCTGCCGGAAGCAGCAGGCGGACCTGCAGGTTGCCGACATTGAATTGACAACGTCAGGACAGGATTCTGAGACGCAAGGCATGGTCGCACAGAGGGAGGAGTGAGATCAGATCGGGGACCGACTACGCTTACTTTTAAACACTTCATTGAGATACTTTTATTGCACTTTTGAAATGAGAAAAAGACTTACCAAAAAGACCCATCTTTTGAAAAACAAGAACTTTGAATTTATTATTAGGAAAAAAAAAACCTGCACAAACGTTTTTTAAGCCTGAATGAACAGTAGTGTGTGTTTGTATTTTGTACTTTGTAAAAGAAGAAAATGAAAAAAAAAGACAACAAAAGCTCATTATAACATGCATATACAGTTTGAATAAATGTACATTTTTGTGTTATGAAGTTGAAAATGAATACTCGTGATCGAGATTTTATCTTTGTACTATTCTTATTTACGCTTGCATTCTAGTTCAGTTAAAACATGCAAACAAGAGGTTATTTACAGATTTTTGCCCACATGTACATAAAGAATGCGAATGTTAAAAGATTTAAGAAATAAATGTAATAAATTAAACATGCTTGTTTTTGTATTATTTGATCAGCAGTCACTGATGGTATCATGGTACACTCGCCTGACTTGTGTGCGGGCGGCATGGGGACCATTTCCTAGTCATGATGTGGGTGTGAGTGAGTCTATACGTGCCCTGTGATTGGCGACCAGTGTTGCGTGTCGTCGGCCTTCCTCCCGAAGTCAGCTGGGATAGGCTCCAGCACACATCCCTTCCCCACAACCCTGTATCGGATAAGCCGTGTTGAAAATGAACGGATGGATTATTGGTCAGGATAAATATGGTTTACAAGCAGGATTGGAATGGTTCATCGTCCCTCCCAAAAATAAATAGACATAAAATACACGCACTTTATGAGGGGACCATCAAATGTCACATCTAATACACTATTTTTAAAAAATGTGCAAAGAATAAATGGCAATGTAACACAAAAAATGGCCATATACAGTATATAAAATATACATATTCAACAGTTTCTGTCCAATTTACCCTCACCATAGGATTGGACTGGAGCATATCGTTTTTTAACTTTTTAACTTGTTTTTTTTTTTTTAATAGCAATTGATTCACACCTTTACACGTCAGTTCCAAAAATGATTCCACAAATGAACACCTCCGAAAAGAAACAGCTTTGCTGAATGTTCTTGTTTTGGAATTTTTGGAGAGACTCGCACCCCTTACATCATAACGACTCTCTAATTTCGAATAGTTCCTGAGTATTGTGGCACAGCAGGTTAATGTGTACTTGTTACATTGTTTTGTGCTAATTTATACTCAAACCGGGTAAAAATATCAGTGATTAATTCTTTAAGGATTGGATTTGTTGGTTCAGCATATTTTCCTCAATAATTCTAATTGCTCCTTTTGTAGTTTGAAAACAGGGACGGTATTTGTTTTATTTCCCCTTATTTCATATCACAGTCGACTGGGCAAGAGGCGGGTTACAGTGCTACTGCTGCTAAACATTTTCCTGCATTTTTCAGTGAATAATGCACAGGTTGTGTACAGTACAGTGCGATGTGGCACTTATCTATCGAGTTATTTTCCCCGGTTGGCACTCTACTCTGCAGAGTGGTATTCCCCAGGATTCTCATTGAGCACATAAGAATGATGGTTGAGGAGAGCGCAGGTTGTTTTTCCCATCACCACCAGATGGCAGTACTGCCAAGAAAAAAAAAACAACAAACTTGACAGGAGCACGAAGTTGGAAAGAAAAGAGCCAAACTGTTTAAACCTGCAGTGCCTCTTGCATGATGTGATGCTGGTGATGTGACAACTTCAGCTGAAAGATTTAACCACCTTTAGGCAATGAGTTGTTGTAATCAACAGCCTGGAGACACTTTCAAGAGCAACTAGTGGGAGAATGAAGAAGTTTGCTTCATTTTGAAAAGATGGTCTTTCCTCTTGAGCTTGAGCCCCATTTGAATGCTCGATGCATTTTTATGATGTCTGAAAAGGCCCACTTGTGCGTGTGGGGGAGTCGTTCAAATTTGCGGTGATTTTTCCCTCGTTTTTGGTGGGATGGAATGCGCTTTGGAAGAATTCCTCTGCGGCTCGTAAAAGAGCTGGATGTGATCTCTGAGAGCCTACAAGGACACAGATAAGTGTTCGAGGTCTCAAGGTTTTGAGCCACTCCAGCACGGGGATAAACGGTTGCAGCGCAAACTCCCGCCTCCTCTTAGCAGACAATACCTCTCCTCTCAAATGAGGGGCCTGGATGCAGCCCTCCTACGTTTATGGATGACACTCTCGCCTGTCTTCTCTCGCACTGCGGGGTGGGAATGAAATGAAGAACAGCACCAGCCGTGAGTGGCAATTCAGTTCTCACGTGGCCTTTCTGTTGCGGCCGCCCCGCATTCCCTCTATCAAATTGCTGCATTTCACACAAGCGCGCAAAATGATGAAGGAAGTGATGTTCTCAGTGAAGGGGAGGACGCAACTTTCGGGACGCCGTGGATGAAATCAAGAGGCAGACAGAAAGGATGCATTTTTCTGCTTCAAAAATGAAATAGCCAGTGAGCAACATTCTCGAAATCTGCTACATGGCTTCTTCCAAGAAGAGCACAAATATGCTTCCCAATCTACTGGCGGCAAATTCAACAACTTCAGTTACCTCATCAGGCTAGTCCAGAATATCTATTATTAATTTGTTCGAGCAAAGCAATGCCCAGACCGAAGCATGTTTTAACTAGCATACCACAGAGACCCCTGCATGCATTCTTGCGATGAACATTCACATTCAACAATCACATAGACGATTTAACTTTATGTCAGTTAAAATTATTTGACAAACTTATTATGGAGATAAACATGAGTTATCCTGCATATTTTCTTGCTCTATTTACTCATTGTGTGATCTTGGATATAATTGAATTTGAATAAATATAAAATAATACAGCGGCCCGGTGGGCCAGTGGTTCGCGCGTCTACCTCACATTGCAGAGGTCGTGGGTTTGATTCCGGCTCTGGCCTTCCTGTGTGGAGTTTGCATGTTATTAAACCCGGGCCTGCGTGGGTTTTCTCCGGGTACTCCTGTTTCCTCCCACATTCCAAAAACATTCATGGCAGGCTGATTGAACACTCTAAAATTGTCCCTAGTTGTGAGTGTGAGCGCGGATGGTTGTTCGTCGTTGTGTGCCATGCGATTGGCTGGCAGTCGGTTCAGGGTGTCCCCCGACTACTGCCCGAAGACAGCTAGGATGGGCACCAGGAACCCCTGCGGCCCTTGTGAGGATAAAGCGGATCGGAAAATGAATGAATGAATAAATAAAATAATGCTAATCAATATCGTTCTATATTGTACCACTTACTATTATGAAACATCAATCCATCCATTTTCTATTCCATTATATCATACATCATTAGGCTCACAGGTGACACTCAACTGGCATGGAGCTGTGGGTGAAAATCCACTCAAGTGCAGAGAGAACGTGCAAACTCCACACGGGAAGGACGGATCCAAACACGAAATTTGAGAACTGTAATGATGACGGACTAACAATTACTCCACCGGGCTGTCCAGAACAACAATCCACCCCAACCTATTTTTATTTCAATCATTAGGATTGTCAGGCAATAAGTCCAGGATGTAGTACGTGTGTTCCTATCCAGCATCCAGACAAGAGCATCCAGAGAAATCCATATCAGGCATGGCAAGACCACACAAACCTCTCACCGAAAGCCCCCAAAGTGGTGTGCCTCCCAAGCTGTAATTTAACCACCAATAGAGTTCTTGCTAGCTTATTTTGTGTAAAGTTTTGAATGGCAACTCATACGGACGCATTTCGATGTAAAACTGTGCACCTGCTGCGCAATATCCTGATCCCAAGTGACACTCCCAGTGGGGGAAAAAAAGTGGCATCGTAGGGAACCATGATGAAGGGAAAAGTCATCCCCAGCACCTGGGTTTAGGACAAATACGAAATCTTTTGTGACACTGTGATGAAGGAAACACAATGGCATGATGAAAGAACGACTTGCTAGCAAAGAGAGCCCCTTTCCTCCTTCAGATTAACTGCATGCTTTAACAAGATTGTGTGGGCATGTGGGAGGATGGGGATGTCAGCGGATCCGCGGGCTGCCCTACATAGATAGAGTGAGAGGAGGAGAGCGTGGAAACCGAAACCCCGCGACTCCAGTGCACATGGGTTAAAAAAAAAAAAAAAAAAAAAAAAGAAGTTAAAAACAAATGAATAAACAAATCAAGGATCACAAGCCCTCTTTCTGATCACATGAAGAGAGTGATGCTGCTTTCAAGTGCTTCCTCGGTGTTCCTCCGTGCCCATCTCTCATTACATACATGAATAAAGCCCTCCAGCAAGCTTGTTTTTTTCCATATGATAAGGAATAATTCGATGAAACAAACTGTACATTTAAGACTGCTGTGAGCATGTCAGCTGCACTGACAATAATATTCTGGTCTGAGGAATTGTAAATGATGTGACAGTTGGCACTTGTGCGTCACAGTTGAGAGGTTCTGAGCTTGAATCTCAGCTGCGTGAGGTTTTCCACAGTTACCCCAGCATCCTCCTACAGTCCGACAACATTGCACGTTCGGTTCATGGAAAACGTGATGTGCATTGTGAGCGACGTGCGAGATCTCGGCTAGGCGAAAGGTTCTCCTTAATTGCTGCGTGCTTTGATGGATAGATGACGTTGATGTCATCAATAAAGGCGAATGAAAGCAGGGGGATAACAAGATGAGATTCCATTCCTATATCCCCACTCACGACCATTGAATTCAAACCTCCAGGATGACAACACTCGCTCCCACGAGGCGTTTTATCAGAGACTATCACCACAAATTGGGAGTCGAAGAATGGGTCCACTTAGGTGCGCTGCCATGTTTGAATGACCAACGTTACCATGTTGTCTGAGGATCGGAATGCCATCTCACATCAGTGTGTTACTGGGCTGTCATGCCGCAGGCTACTGATGCTCCTGACCGTTTGTTAAGAGAATACAATGTGCAGTCAAATACAGTAACATTGCCAATACAAAGTGCATGTCATGCTTCTTCTGCGTCACTTATCATCCAATCCGCCACAGACCACCAAACAGCACAGTGACGATGTGGCACATTTTCAGTGCTGGCAATCGACTGAGAAATTGCAGCGAGCTAAGCTACAAGCTACTTGATGTTACCTATACCTTCATGACACTGAAACTAAACCCTGGAGAAAATGACTACAGTTGCTAACCG